CTACCACGGTATACTATAGTTAATTTTTAGAAAAACAAAATGGCCATTCAAATTTACCGTTATCTACAGTCCTTTTTTACCAAATTTTTGATGTCGTTTTTCTTTTAGACACCAGCCTGTAGAAGCTTGAAATTTTAGGGGCTTTTAGACATTAACATGTTGTTCATTTCGTTAGAAGAAAATTTTTTTCCATCTCCACCCTCTCTCAAGTTATACCTCTCTCTCTTAAAATTTGTAAAATTTGCATTTTCTACACCTTATATTTCTGAAACCGCAAGCTTTTTCAAATTTCTATAAATGCAAAAAGTTAACAGTAAATTCCATGATATTAAAAAATATAATTATTTTTCTTAGCTCACACAAGTAACCCTTAAAATCGAGCATTATGTTAACCCCTGCTTATATTAATTTTTGCTTTATTTCAAAGACTGCATAAATCGTTCATCCTAAATATATGCAATCCTAGAAATAGTTTTGTATATGAATGAAAAAAATTTTAATAGTGTGATAGGTATACATACTCGTAGACTGTATTTAAAAGCAGAATTTTTACTTGTTGAAGGGAAAAGTGCTACAATACAAACCATTGGTTTGACCCAACTTTTTTCTATTAACACGATCACGCGATCCGGTTGTAATAGGAACTTTTTAATCAAATCACCAAACTTGGCTTTATTATTTTCAGAGTTATATAAATCCTCTATAGAAATCAAGAAATCTACAGAGCTTTCAAATCTCTCTTTATAATGATCTGTAATCTTCTTCATTTGTGTTATGCACTTTTTCATTCATAGGGCAAGTGTATTTCACCTTCGTTCTGTTGTCTTCCCGTTTTCATCAAATAGTATATCCACAAATAGAATTTTTGAATAAAATGGCGAACATGTCCTGTTCATATGAAGATTAACAACATGCGATTATCGTGCGGGATACCTTCAATTGTCAAAATTCATCTGATTATCTTAAGTTATACTTAAAAACAGATGTTTTATTATTAGCGGATGTTTTCGAAAATTTAAGAAAATTATGCAGAAAAATCTATAACTTAGATCCTGCTAATTTTTACACTGCTCCAGGTCTTTCATGGCAAGCGATGCTTAAATACACCGAAATAGAGTTAGAGCTATTTACAGATATAAACATGTATATTTTTTTAAAGTCAGGAATACGGGGAGGTATTAGTCAATGTTCTTTGCGTCATTCTGTAGCCAGTAACAAATATATGAATGGCAAATTAAATTTTAATGATGTTTCCAAATACATCATTTACCAGGATACAAATAACTTGTACGGTTAGGCCAAGTCCTGAAATTAGTACCCCTCCAAGTGGAAAAGCAAGAAAAATTATTAACTAATTTAAACAATATGAAAAATTATGTAATCCTTTATAGGAATCTTAAGCAGTGTCTTGAAAATAGATTAATTCTGAAAAAAGTACATAGAATTTTACAATTCAAACAGAGTAATTGGTTAAAAAAATACATTGATTTAAATACTAAATATGGAATAAATACTCAAAATTGTTAAAAGAAAGACCTTTTCAAATTAATGAATAATTCCGTGTTTCGTAAAACAATGGAAAATATTGATAACAGAAGAGTAGTCTATATTGCTGATTTATGGGAAAGCAAAAGAGAACACTTAGGACTTAGAGCTCTAATAACAAGACCTAATTTTAACAGCGTTTAAATTTTCAGATCTAATCTAGCAGCAGCAGAATTGAATAAAGCAAAAGCAAAATTACAATAAACCAATCTATATAGGTTTACAACTTTATATCAATCGAAATTTGTAATGTGTAACTTTCGGTATAATTCTATGAAACCAAGGTTTCAAAATAATTTAATGCTTAAATATATAGACATTGATTAAATTTTCTGCTAGTAAATAACAAAGTATTAGGTCTGTTTAAAGATGTAATGAGTGGGAAAATTATAACTGAATTTATAGGTTTAAGATCGGAAATGTATTTCATTAAAACTCTATAAAATAAAAATAAAAATAAAAGGAATTAAGAGATATATAGTTAATGATTTTAATTTAGAAGATTAGAAATCCGCTTTACTAAATAATTTAATATTATATAGAAATATAAAAGTTTTCACATCTAAGCTACACACTATTTATACTCAAAATCTTAATAAGGTAGCTTTAAGTAATGCAGATGAAAAAAGATATATTTTAAGTGGTAAAGTAAATACATATATGCTTGGGGGCATTATGTATTAGAAAATTAAATGTAGAAATTACTTTATAGGAAATGTATTTAAATATAAAAATTACTTTGTAAGAAATGTATTAAATATGAAATATAAATCACATAAGATTGTTGAAAAATATTGCATTGTGTTTTGTCATAAATCTTTTTGTTTTCAGATGAAGCAATTACATCGCGTAAGCTTTAAAAAAGAAAAAAAGTTCTTCATAAATAACATAGTCTAAACTAATCTTTTGTTTTCAGGAAGCAAATACACCTCGTAACGTAGTACTGTGTTATCAATATTTAAAAAAAATAATTTTAAACTGTGTTACCAGTATCAAAAAACTAATTCTAAACCTAACCTTTGTTTTCAGGAAGCAATTACGCCTCGTACCGCGGTGTTGTGTTATCAATATTATTATTTATGTGACTTCCTTTTACATTAAATCATAGATATATTGTGATTTAATTATAGTTATGTAGAATTTAATTTTTTTAATTCATAAATGAGTGAGGAAATATTAACCTAACCTCTTGCTTTCAGGATGCAGCTACGCCTTTTAACGTGATGCAGTGTTATCAATATATAAAAAAATAATTCTAAATTCACCTTTCAAGCTTTAAGAACTTTTTTAAATTTAAAAAGATCTTAAATTTAACGATTATCCATAATATTTTAAATTTAACGGTTTTCCGTTACCTCCCAATACAAAAAACTTACTTTTAAATTTAAAAAATATTAAATTTAACAGCTTTCCTTTTACCCAAGATAAATAGCTTAAAATATTACATCAAGTTTTCCAAATTTTAAGAAGATGTGTTCTTTTTAAAAGCTTAAAACTGTACCTACTTTTAACCAAGACAACAATTCCTCCACTAATATTACATATATCTCATTCTAAATATTGCATACTTTAACCCAATAAAACAATCATATTAATCATTGCATACTCCTACGGTCACACTTCCGCTTACTTTTACACAAAACGACAGCCATATTACCCAAGACAACAACCATATTACATCATTGCTTATTCCTAGGATGACACTTTCGGTCTAGAGCCCCCATATTCTAACTATACTTATACACGAGTCGGTCATTGATCCACTTTCCTGGTGTAACGAGCTTTTTGCATTACCTTAAGGAGATTGACTTTTGTTATCTCCTTCAGATTTTCTTCCTTTATAACCTTCTATGGTTTGTTGTCTTCAGCTCTTGCCAAACGATTATTATCATCCATTAATTTCGTTAAATAATTTTTTTTGTCATTGATGACTTTTCGAGGTCATTGATGAGTTTTCGGTTCCTATGCCTACAAATATGCTGTAGTTTGGAAGATAATAATAGGAAAATTTTTGTAAAATTCAGGAAGGCACTGTGGATGAAGCTGTAATTGTCTTTTCGTCTTCGTTGCTTCAAAAAGGATAAGCATATATCTTTCTTATTCAACTTAAATCTCTAAAGTGTCTCTATATAACTAGTTCAACAAGAAAGTAAGAAATGGATGTAAATATATAACATAGTGGCTTGAGATAGAATGCAGCGATTAAGATCCTTGCAAAGACATTAAGTATAAATATACAGGGTGATTCAGAAAGGTAAACGACAATATATACCATTGGTTAGAGGGTCGATTTAAAACTTCTGTTCCGGAGTAGGTGTGAAATCTCAAGGGTTCTCGAGATACAGGGATTTTAACGAATTTTCACGAAATTTTTAGTTATCTAAGCTTTTTTGATTATAACTTCCGTTTAGAAAAAGATAGAGGCTTCAAACAAGCAGTTTCTGAAAGGTCTAGTGAGGGGCTTAAAGTATATACATCTTGCTTGGTTATGTATTTTGTGTACTTTCGGAATACCAATCGTTCGAACTTTAGGATAAATCTAATTTTTCCCCTTTTTTATTTTTTCAGTTTTTTCTAACCAGGTAATTTCGTTCGAAAATTTTTTGAAACTTTGAATTTTTTACAGAATTTTGGCCACTTCACTAGACCTTCCAGAAACTGTTTGCTTCAAGCCTCTATCTTTTTCGGAACGGAAGTTATAATCAAAAAAGTTTAGATAACTAAAAATTTCGTGAAAATTTGTTAAAATCCCTGTATCTCGAAAACCCTTGAGATTTCACACCTACTCCGGAACAAAAATTTTACTCATTTTCGACCCTCTAACCAATGGTATATGTTGTTGTATACCTTTCTGAAACACCCTGTATAATACATAGATACAAAAAAATATAAAATAAAATTTCGAATATGCACCTAATAAAAACCAAATTAAAAAATTAATTGAAGAGCTGTGCTGAAAATTCTGTTTGAAGTTTATTACAAAAGAGGATTGTGAGAACTTTATAAAATTAGACACTTGTTTCTTACAACTTCTTTTTGAAAGAATCTTCAAACAAAATTTTTAGTACAACTTTTCAATCTAATTTTTTAAATTTGTTTTTATGTTACGTATATTCGAAATTTATTTTTAAGTGCATTTTATGTACAAAGATTGTTTTTTAAATACTTTTTTTTTTTGAATTTTACGCTAGCTTCGATAGATTTTTATCGAGCACATACAAAATTTAAACTGCTATCACAACGCTAGAATCACCCACATTTCTACTTTTTATAACATTTCATATCATCAGATTCCTAATACATAAATTTTACTTTATTTTTTATTTTTTTGAGCAATGTTATACCTGAGTTATTTTTGCAGAAAGATGAAAAGAGAAAGCATATTTATAACACCTTTTTCGCAAATTTTCCGCAAAAGAAAAAAAAATTGAACTGCAAACAGTAATTTCACTTACCTGAGTTAAAACCACATCGCTAAGAAGTAGCTCAGTTTCCTCTTGCGCTCTTACGATATCCGCATTTTGATTTAATCCAAAAAAAAATGCTGGGGTAGCTGCAGGCAAATTTTCTGCATATTCGACGTATTTTTCATGCTTTTGTTCATTTGGTAAAAAATATATATCACTTTTATCATAGTAGAAAATTTTTCTTTCATCCAATATTTCTGGGGCACAAAATTTTTTTAACAAAGTTTTCAAAGTTCGTCTATCCCAGTCGTCTGTTACACGTCCGCCATAATTACATTCTCCGATTATGTAATATAAAGCTTCAAGGTTAATTTTACCATGCTCATCAAAAAACAATTTCAGTTCAACCAAACTTATTTCTAAATCCTTTTCGTTGAATTCATATGGAATGTTCCACCCTATCGGTCCATAATTTCTTCTTTCTTGCACAACGGCATGGAAAATACACAAACTGAACAGAAGTTTATTGAAGCTGGTAGAACTATTACTGAATTCGTTTAAATCCAAATCACAATGTGATTTATTATTTAAAGAGCGTAAAATGTTCAGTCGCAAGTGTTTTGGGGGTTCGTCAACCATTTTGATTCCATTTTGCAAAACCGATATTGGAAAATATGTTGAGGTGCAAGATGTTAACCATAATCGAAAGTCGGGATGTATTGAATCTGGCTTTAAATTGTCACAAACTTTTTCTAATGTTGGCATGAAACTTGTAGCAAGGTGGCAATTTTGCAAAAGAATCCAACTTCCTAACTTGGAAGCATCTTCAATTAGCTTAAGTGCTACGGGTGTTTGACCTTGGCCAAGCGACAAAACTAAAAATTTGCTTTTTTCAAACCCTTGTTCATCCGCAAATGCTAATAAAGTAGCTGTGGGATCTGTTCCAGGTGTCGTCATGAATATTAGAGGTGTACTACAAGTTGAGTCTCCAAAAGAAGCCTTTAAACTAAACGGCGGTGGTTCAATAAAGTTTTTTCCAAGTTCTCCTAAAGAAGTGTGTGGGATATTTTAAGTATTGAAAGTATTGCTAAAATATATTTACAGCAAATTACCTGCAATAAACGTTCGTATGTAGGGTATTAATTTATCTGGATGAAATGCTCGTATTAGCAGCAGCTTTTGAAATTTTCCTAAATTTCCCCAAGGATCCGGAAGTGTTTCTATATTTGGATCAGTAGATTCGAAAAATGCTTTCCACTCCTCTGGTCGTTCTTGAAAATCCTTTGCTAAATTTGAGAAATCTTGAAGAGATGATAAGCGAACTATTTCATCCCATTTATGCTCAGGAAACCAATTAGTCGGATTACAAATCTCATTATGCAATCCAACATTACCAGTTAATAAGAACATCCACTCATTTATTCTAACTTCATTTTTGGCTTTCGACAAATTTATGTAAAGTGTCAACGAAAACAGTAGCTTGTCCTGTAAAAAGTTCCTTTTTAAATAAAATGATTTGTAACTGCATAAATTATATATTATATAACTGATATGGTTAATATTCATAAGACAAAGTAATACATATTCAATAACCTTAACAAAACTACGTGTCCACAAAAGTATATACAATGGATAAAACTACATAAACTAAAACTGCATACCAAGGCAAAATTTCATATTAAAAATTTTTCCTTTAATATTAATAGATTTTTAGCGACCATATCGGTTATTGACCGCATTGTTTAACGAAGACAATATGATGAAATTTGGTACGTGGACCTTTTAGGGATGGTAAGTAAACTTGTTTTAGCTAGATGTCGGTCTGCCAGTCTATTTGTGAACTCGAATGAATGATTTTTAGAAGAATTTTTAGGAAAAATTCACTTCTAATTCAGTTTTAATTACAGCAGTTGCATTATAACCGCTTACTGTATATAAATGCTTAATGTATATAAATAAGAAAACAACGCACAATATTTTGTTCTTGCTTATTTAAATAATAATGTGAAACTTTCAATTTTTTGCGGTATTCAAGGTTTACAAAGAAGAAAACTGTTTTTATTTAAACGTTACTCGGTTTTGAAAAGGCATCTGACGGCAGCATTTTATCTTAATCTTAAGCAAAATTTTAGTTTTTCAAATATGTATAAAATTTCAATATAAAATGAAAAAGATATTCAGATACTGATTAAAAGTTGCTTATTTTCCTAAAGCTAGCTTAAATTTAAAAAAAAAGGAAGAGGTATGAAAACGCAACAATCATTTTCCGTTGTTAAGATATATTCTTCATCTAAATGTTGCCTGTTTTATCTTATAATCGAAATGTTGTCTGTTTTATGTCAATATTCGACAATGGATAAAATTGACGTAAGCGCGAGTTTTATACTAGATTTATGAATTCAGTTGCAGGAGCCATTCTTTTTTTATCGACCACATTGTATACAGTGAGGTTATGTGATGGCACTAAATTTTAAATGTCGAATTTTCGGTGGGAACGCATTTCTCCATAGTAGGGAAGTGCTTATAAACTACTTTTCGAGAGATGATGGTTTGTATCTCAAGGTTGACTGAATCGATTTTGATGAAATTTTATATGTAATTTTATTGTGGCTGTTGAATGGATCAATGAACTTTAGGGATATATAAGACCTCGGGAACTGGACGTTTTTACGGGCTCAGAAACAGAACTGCGAACCGATCTCACATTTTTTACAATATCTACGAAATGGATTGATGGGGGGAATTAAGGTGGCACAAAGCGAAACTGTAAGAAGGGGCAAATTTACATTTTTCTAGGTACGTTAGCTAAAAGCTTGCTAACTTCCTAAAAATTGAAAGTAAGTGTTTAAAGCGCATTTTCATAATTCTCTGCAACACTTCCAGTAACCAGGCATTATACATTGCGGTCAGTTATGTGGTGACCACATTAGAGTTTCATTTAATTTTTTTTTTTGTTTTTATTTAAAATGAAAAGAAGAAAACTTACTCTTGAAAATTAATATCAACGAGTTTCCGCCCCTAAATGTTTCTTTAAAAATACCCTATTTGTAGAAGTTTATCGCAATAAAATAACATTTTGCTATTAAATTTTGTCTTAAAAATATATCGTTTATATCGTCTTAAAAATTTATTTTAGAGTAAGTGCGGTACTCGTGGATCACCTATTTGGGTTATGCAGTATTCTCCATTATCTTAAATCTTTTCAACCCGGACAAGAGCCACAGTCATAAATTCTATTTACAAACAATTACAGTTAAACAATTTTGTTGAAAATTCATTTTAAGTACCAAAATTGAAATTTATAAAGTTTTAAAATGGATGAGAAATTTGGACCACACGTGCGGGACCATGGTTCATTTACCAGGATAAAAAAAACTACATGGAAAGAATTTAAAAAGTGAAATTAATTAAGAATCAAATTTTAATCAATAAAACTAAAATGCATGTAAAAATGTATGCCAAAATACTCGAAGCATAGTGTTCCACAACAAACGGAATCTCGATCTTTGAAAAGAATATAAATATTATAATCAAAATAAATGCTCACATCAAATTGTTTTAAACAGAATTTTTGTATGGCAAAAAACACTTCTTTAGCAGGAACTTGTTTTATCATTACGCTACACAAAACTACAAAACACAAAAAAATGCTGTCATTAAGAATTTACAATGTTTTCTTGTAAAAACACTTCAGATACTGAAAGCTACAGTCGAGTCACGAAAGAATACATTAGTAAATGCGTACGTACATACCCAAGTAACAACTTTCAAGAGTAATACCCTAAAAAATTGACCAAAGCTCTCATAAAACTCTCATACCACACTCCAATACTCTCATAATATTTTTTTCTTTTTTTGTTTTTATGCAATTCTCATAAGATTCTTATAATAAGACTTAGCACTTGTAGTGTTAAAAAGTCTGCTACTCTCATAGCAAAACTACTTTCAGCAAGCCAAAAAAAAATTTTAATTCTCATAAAGTATTTTTTATAAGATGTCAACTCTTATAGAATTTTGTGCTTAAAAGAATTTCTTTATAAGTCCAGTTGTTAGGCACGGCCATTTTAGTATTGTCATTTTTGCTTTTCTAAATTTTAACCCTAATGAGACTGAGAATTCTTTTTTTTGGAAAGGAGTCCGATAAATATTTATTGTACAGAAACTATTAAATTAAAACTAATGAAATGCAAAATTATAGTCTTGTTTGAATATAATATAGCTTTAGTTGGAATTAATGCACATTAGTATATTTATTTTTTGTTTAACAATTCTTAAATTTTAAAATATTATAGGGTTAAAAAATATGTATATTCTTTTAAATTTTAATTATTTTTAGTTGGTGTTGTTTTTTTTTGAAGTACAATATCAACTTTTATCAATAAAATCTTAATGCCAGCAACTTTTTGATTTATAATCATGGCAAAAAAATTAGTTTAATTTCCCATATTTATAATTTTATGATAATAAGTTTTTGAATACAAAAATGTATTGATTACATTTACGTAAACTTACATATGTATAGTTTGTTACAGTTTTGTTAAAAAATAATTATTAAAAGCGGAATAGAGATATTTTTTATAAAGTTCGAAGTAAGACCGATATACTTATTCTACAATGTATTGCTTTCTCTTTCTAGTAACACTATTATAATAAATGGCTTGTGAGAGTTTTCGTATATCAAAACTAGTGTGAGAGTTATGTGCTTTAAAAACTCTTTTAATGGGAGCTTAACTCCCATTACCGCACCGCACCTTTTAATGTTGTATAGCAATTACTCAAACCTGTGAAACCATTCTATAGAAATTTCACGGATATGTCTGACCCATTATTGGACTCACAACTGCCAAGTTTCATGAATCTGACTTTATTATTTTTCCAAATATTTAAAATAAGCTTTTTGAGTTGTATGGCAGGTACCCGAACCTGTCAAGCAATTCCACTAAAACTTCGCAGGTATATCTGATCTATAATTAGACACACAACTGCCAAGTTTCATGAATCTAACTTTATTACTTTTCCAAATATTTAAAATAAGCTTTTGGACTTGTATGGGAGCCACTCGAACCTGTCAGGCAATTCCACCAGAACTTCAGAAATATCTTTTACCTATAATTGGACACGCAACTGCCAAATTTCATGAATCTGACTTTATTTTTTTTGCCGAATATAAAAAATTTGCTTTTGGAGTTGTATGGCAGCCACCCGAACCGGTACAGCTATCCCATTGAAATTTTTAGAGCATAATGTGGAATATAATTGGACACATGTGTACAAAATTTTATATTTATACCTTTATTAGTTTTTGAAATATTTAAAATAAACTCTTTGAGTTGTATGGCAGCTACCCGAACCTTGTTTTCGAATCAGACTAGTTACAATAGGGATGGTCCTTGGCACAAAAGAAACAACTTGTGAAAGTTTGGTGTCGATTTCTTTGCTTATTTTTGAGATATCGTGCGATCGGATAGACGGACAGACGGACATGTGTAAACCAACGCAGAATTTTACGCTGAGGAAGAATTTTAATTTTAACGAAAAAAATCACTCCCGTAAGATATAATAAAATTTTATAAAAAACGGTCAAAAAACATCTTGAGGATGGGTGAGGGAGCAATAGGGGGGTGGCAGAATTTTTGCTTTTCTGGGACCCTAGCTAATGCCTTCTGTGCTCGATATATATGCTATAATGTCAAATAAGATGGTTTTTGAAGAGTTATTCAAAATATGGATAATGTAAAGAATTAGAATAGTATATCCAAAGAACTGCGTAAGCTATAGGGTAGACTACTTTCGCCGGAATGTAGTCGTACTTTCCTTTTTTTTTGAATTATTTTAAATTTTTTTTTATTTTATTTTGTTTATATTGTTTTGTTTTATTTTCTTTTAATATACTAATTATTTTCTTTATTTTCTTGTAATACCTAAATAGAGAAATAAATTTTTCAAATAAATAAAAGGTGCCTGAAGTTATTGTATATATTACAATATTTTTCAAAAAGTAGGTTTCGTGCATTACCTACATGTGTATGTACATGTCAAAACGCATTGAGCTTGAGATGAACACACATTTATATATCAGCGGCCTCAAGCACAAACGACTTAAGTCTGTTTTAGTGATTTCGAGATAAACGCATTTTAAACTTTAAATTTAATTTTGAAAAAAGTTATGAAGTTTTTTGAACCAATTTTTTTTTGATCGAAAGATAATTAAAAAAGGAAGCGATTAACTCATAATCTGAAGTAAAACAACTAATAGTGTTCTCATAATTATGAAAAAATCTGGTGTGGTCAGCACATAACCGACCGCAATGTGTATTGTCTAGTTAAGTGAAAGTGTTACAGAATATTATAAAAATGTCTGTTAAATACTTCTTTCCAATTTTTAGGACATTAGTAAGCTTATAGTTAGCATACCTAGAAAAATGTAAATTTGGCTCTTAGTAGAGTTTCGCTTTGTGCTACCCGAATTCCCTGAAATGCTCGCC